CCCCCGGGCAGGCAGCTATGGGGGGGGCAGCCCCCGGGTCCGCAAGTGTCCCCGCCCCCTGGCACCCGGCGGGCGAACGGCCACGCCCCCTGGCGCCCGGCAACCCCAAAAGGTTGGGGACCACTGGAGTAGGGGGACCCCAAAACAAATTCCTTGATTGACTAACTAAAAGATGGTGCACTCACAAACTCCATGAATGATCCTCCAGCTCAGAGATGACTCTGGACTCTTCAGTCACTGCAGAGGGCTGATCTCTGCTAGCAGGGATGCGGGCGAACGGCCACGCCCCCTGGCGCCCGGCAACCCCAAAAGGTTGGGGACCACTGGAGTAGGGGGACCCCAAAACAAATTCCTTGATTGACTAACTAAAAGATGGTGCACTCACAAACTCCATGAATGATCCTCCAGCTCAGAGATGACTCTGGACTCTTCAGTCACTGCAGAGGGCTGATCTCTGCTAGCAGGGATCCTATTCAGGCAGGAATCAGGTTGCTTCAGTCCCAGGATTTCCCCTCACCACAAAGGGGTGCAAGGCTCAAGGTACAGATTACACAACTGTACTAAAATCCAAACTGTAGTCTTCTAGCCCAGCATCCAGCCACACACACAGCAGGCAGCAGCTCTGAACTAGCAGACAGAGCAGAGCTGACCATGTGGTGACTGGTCTCACCTAGGGAGCTGGAAGGCTAACTTAGCCTGGCTGGGGAAGTTTCCCAGCAAACTCTACAAACTGGGAATCATCAGTGGAGAAGGAAAACCCATCTGAGGGATTTTGCTTTCAGGTCTATAGAGGCCAGTTCTCAGGGCGGACCCTGCATGCAGGCCTGGGGCTTACCTGCTTCCCACACAGCCAGTCCTGCCCTTGCCGGCTCCAGACTGACTCATAAAAAACAATCGCCTCTCACCTTTCCTGAACTCCCTGGGAGGGGCATCTCACTCCCTATTTGCTGTCAGGCAGACTCTGAGTTTGACTTGGCGCCCCATCCCTACCAGGGACAGTGTGCCTCTCCCTGAGCTGCCAGCAGACAGAGCCCCAGGAATCTAGGTAATCTCCTTGGGGGTTACACTTGTATTTCAGCAAGGGCTGTTTGTCTTGTGTTTTACAGCACGTTAACGCAGTGGGTCGTGGTGCACGACTG